GGTGGCAGGCGGCGTCTCCCGAGCTGTGATGGGCTGTCAAACACCGGCCACTGATAAACGAGCAAACTCAATTGAAAGAGACATGTAATATATATCAGCGCTTTATTCTCTCCTCTCCCTGTATCTTTCATTTGCTCTTTTTTCCCCCCTTTGGTTTGCTGGTATTGCTACAGTCCAAAACCTGGAGAAAACTGAGAGACAAGACGAAATATTGCGGTATATTCAAAATCAATCTTGTGGTTCCCTGAATGATTTGCAAATTGGTTTTCTTAGTTTTTTGTTACACAGTTGATTTTGTAGAATATATTGGTCATTTTGTTTCCATTCGAGTTTTTAAGCCCCAAAAGAATGACACAAAAGCAGCATAAGCCATCATAGAAGTGGTTCACATGACGTGTATTACAAGTCATCTGAATATTTTTGCACACTGATGCAAATGTAAACAATTATTTGCTGTAAATCATGTGATCAAGTGCAGACACAAACAAATCCTTTGTTATCATCAGACATAAATCAGATATTCTGACAAATTCACACCAAAAACCAAGGATAATTTGACTGTAGGCATATACATTTGCAGTGGATAGTACCATAACACTAATTTAGAGCTTAACTTAGCTGATTATGATGATTGTTCTTATTATTTTTAAAAATGACTAAATTTAATAAATAACTTAAACAAATACCAAAAAATCAATTTCATGTATAACAATATGATTTTTTAAATTATTTTAGCATTTATATATATATATATATATATATATATATATATATATATATATATATTAAGAATAATAATAAAATAACCAAAATAAAAATAATTTTAAAAGGAGGTTTATTTCACTGTGGCGGCCTCTGAAATAAAGACTAAGCTGAAGGAAAATGAATGTATAATTTAAAATAATACAAATAAATAAATAAATAGATAAATATATATAAATAATAACAATTATAATAATAACAATGATAATACCACATGATGATAATAATAATAATAATAATAATAATAATAATAAAAATGAATAACAAAATAATAAATAGTAACATTCATAATACAAATAAAAATAAAAATTATAAAATTATGTAAAATAATAATAATAATAATAATAATAATAATAAAATGAATAATAACATTAATAATACAAATAAAAATGAAAATCATTTTAAAAGGGGGTTTATTCTGCTGTTGTGAACACTGAAATAGTGACTAAGCTGAGAGAAAATGAATGTACAATCCATTAATAATAATAATAATAATAATAATAATAATAATAATAATAATAATAATAATAATAATAAAATTAATAACAAAAAGAATAATAACATTAATAATGCAAATAAAAATAATTATAAAATAACAATATTAATAATAATAAAATGCATAATAATAAAATGAATAATAACAATAATTTAACAAATATTTATTTGTATATATATATATATATATATATATATATATATATATATATATATATAATGATAATAATAATAATAATAATAATAATAATAATAATAATGATGATGATAATAGTAGTAGTAATAATAATAATAATAATAATAATAATAATAATAATAATAATAATAATAATAATAATAATAATAATGATGATGATAATAGTAGTAGTAATAATAATAATAATAATAATAATAATAATAATAATAATAATAATAACAAAATGAATAATAACATTTATAATAAAATATATAAATAATTTTTGGTTCATTATAATAAAACAAATTTAATTCATTAAATAATGGGTGGTTCATTACGCTGTGGCGATCTCTGAAATAGAGACTAAGCTAAAGGAAAATGAATGTATAATTAAAAAATAAATAGATACAAAAGAAAAATAAATAATCATAATAACAACAACAACAACATAAGCACACATGGACTCTGCATCTGATGGTTTTTGTATACAGAGTAGTATAGTACATGGTCTCGTGAAAAACCCAGAGCATTTATTATTTATGATGTCTAACCAACAAATCCTGATTCACAAATGCATTAGGCATAGATACCCTAATGTCCAGAAGGGCCAAGGTCTGTGTATGTGTTTGTGTATACAGTATGTTGATACAATGCCAGGAATATTGAACAGAGGTCAATAAGTGATAAATGAAGCTGCAGGTGATCAATAATGCCTCTGAAACAACGTGAGAGCTGTCCTTGCGAAGACTGAGCTAAAGCTGTCTGCCGTCTGCAAGATCAGCTGGTTTTATGCATAAAGGATGAGTCTAATCACTGACTAAATGGAGCTTTAAAATAATATTGTGAGGCATTTTCCAGCCAAGTGTCTACGGGTTGCATTTGTGGAATGTAGTCGATAACCACACACATATATTATTGTGTGGAGAAAAAAAAGGAAAGAAGAAAGAAGTTACAGTAAATCACTTATAATGGAAGCTTTTAAGTAGGTTTTTTGGACCAGATTGGTTTAGATTAGAACTCAATATACTGTAGATTTAAACAACAAAATATACTGTAATATTATAATGTAGTCATCTTTAGCACTGGCTTGTTGCAATTGTTATTTCATTTGTTTGTTTGTTTCTGTAATTCTTTAACTATGGGAACTTCCATGACCTAAACATGAATGAAAAATAAGACTTTTATAACTTTTTGTTATATTACAATATATCACAAGTTTCCAAGAGCAAATATTTGTATATAAAACATGAAAGTTAGAAGTAAAACATGCTAAATAGATAAATATGGAATTATATAATAACACATAAATGTAATTTTCATAACCAATAACATAAAAATGTTTATTTACATGAGCAATATCACACTCGTAGCAGTGCGATGGGGCTGTATATTGGCACATACAGATGTACAATGACATACAGCCACATCGCACTGCTACGAGTGTGAAATTTCGTTTATTCAACAGTTCGATGGCATAATCGTGTGTATAAAAAAGAAAATCAAAGTTGGAAAGTCTAAAAACCTTAATAAGAGGAACTACTTTTTTCCACCTTTACTTTAAATCTGCAGCTGACGACAGAAAAGCAGAAACCATTGCCCATTCACTAACGTCACTTTAGAGCTAGTATTTGAATGATTCTCTGGCATACTGTCTAAAGTGATGTCAAAACAGGTGGTAAGATTGTAAGGCTGAATGGCATTTAATGCCATCAGTCTACAGAGATATCTCCCAGTATTTCTCTGTAGCAATCGGGAGATCACAATATTACTATGGTATAAATACAGCTCTATAAAATACAAATGAGAGATCGACCTAGAAAGTCATTATGTTTACTAATGATTTGATCAGCTGTAGTTTGAAATTATGCTGTTTTTCTCTTAGGGCTTATTATGCAGTCTCTGTCGCCCTCTTGTGGATGAACATAATCAAAGACTGATTAATGGCCACCGAAGCACTGTCTCTCAGAAATTATAAACATTTCAAAATAGGCACTATTCTTATAAATAAACTGCATAGTTACTAGAGAACCACATTCTCGACTGAAAATGCCTCAAATGTACATTATGTTGTCCAACAGCAGCAATATAAACTGTAGAGTGTCCTCTGCTTGTCGCTCTATGTGGGCGGAGTAATACACAAGGATGAGGGGTTAAAAGGCTCGAAGAGTTCTGTTACTAGCAGAATATCACATGGCTATCAGCCAATCAGATTCAAAAAATAGACCTAAATGTTGTACAATTAAATTGATGGTTGGTGTTTTTGCTTGAAAATCTAATTCAGCCACGCTAAGGTTACAGTTAAAAAGTACATTAAAAATTGTTACCAAACATAATGTAAAAATCATTAATATATTGTAAACTTTTTTTTAAATAATAAGTAAAAATAATCTTGTAATCCTAATACTATTATCTTAAAAAAAACAACTCTGCAAGACCAAAAACTTACATAGTTGTGGAAAAGCCTATTTACATTAATATTACGTGCTAAAATGCTAATTAAGCCTATAGTTTAAGAATAAGTTCAATTGTGTTTGTCAAATTAATATATTCGAAAACTAACCATCACATTCAATTATAAATCTCTATTAAACTTTAATTCTACAAGCCCAATAATTCCAAAATAGTACTGCACAATATATCGTTTTAGCATCGATATTTCAGTGTACACATCTGCAATAGTCACATCGTAGCATGTGATGTCCAGTCATGATTATAGTTGATTAGGTACAATAGTTTAAATAGTAGAAAGTTTATCATTGGCATGTTTTTAAACCTGTGATTATTACTAAGTATTTCAACAACAAAGATAATCAACTATATATAATGTTAGATAATGTATAGATAATGCAACTATTTGTACTGATTTAATGCATGTTTTTTCATAATAAAAAATTTAAACGTAAAATAATCTTGATCATGATTTTTCCCCTAATCGAGCAGCCCTACTGTATATTCAAGTCATCAGGTGAAATTGCATTTAATGCAATAAAAACTAACTTCCAAATATCATGCAGCCCTACTTCAAAACCCTAAGCATTGTGCTAAAATGCTAAGTTGTAAAAAACCGAAAGTGATGACTACAGAGGGTTAACCTGCTGAAACACCTATGGACACACAACCTGCACTTTAAAATGGGTCATCACCAGACATCCACCATTTTCGCACCCCGTACTGGGAGCTCAGTATGTGCATGTCCGTTTGAGGACAAAGAGTTGCCTCCCATCCCACAGGCTCAGAGGAGGATTTGACCACGAGCTGCAGGAGGGTGTCAGTTTGAGGACACAACAAATGAGCGAGCAAGGTTGCAGAGATGCGCATTACAGATCAAGACAAGCTGCCTCGCCATTATAAAGCAGAGAAAGAACTCTCTTTAGAGCTTTACCTCCATAACAGGACAGGCTGATTCACATTCTAGCTCAGGACGACTCATTTCCCATTCTGCACATTAGTGAGTTACTGTCAAGCATTACGGTTATCATATCATGTTAGTCATAATGTAGCGCTTTGCCGATCATCGCTATATTTTCAGGAGCCGTGGATAATGTAAGTGCAAATGTGCAGGTCATACCCTTTCTTTCAGCTTGGCCACTTGTTCTCTGTAGAAAGCGTCCTGCTTCCGGAGCTCTTTGTCTCTCTCCTCTAACTGTCTGGCCTGTGGGAAACACACAGATAGATAGATAGAGTTGGATGCAGGGTATATTCAGTGCAGTAGAGTAGAGAGAGAAAAAAAACATCACTGAGTACCTTTAGAATCTGTAAAATTAGATGTTTAGAGGAATGTTCATGCTGCTTTTTTACATGCAATATAAGCAAATGGGAAATCAAGCTCCACAAATGATAAAGGTTTTACATTATGTTATGTTTCCTATATATGAAGCTTCTGTAGTCATTTGGTAGATTTTAAAAAGAGGCGTTTAGCAGAATGGTCATGCTGCTCTTTTAATTACATATAAACATGGACTGTTAAGCACCAAAAATGAGCACCCTAAAAATAACAGCAGACATTAGGGTTTATTTACTATGTTTAAATATCTGAAGTCATTTCATAGTCTTTAAATTGAGATGTTTAGACCAATGTTCATGCGCTATTTTCCATGTAATTGTGGTAAAAAAAATGTCTTAATCTAAAAAAAAAAAAAAAAAAAAAAGTTTATTAAACTTAAAAAGTTTAAAAAGTTAAAGAACTATATTTATAGCTTCTTATGTATTAACTAGATTTTTAGCAGAATGTTCATGCTGCTTTTTTTTGCTCTGTGGTGGCAAATGGTCTGTTAAGCTTCAAAAATTACAAGCAGCAGCTCAAAAATAATATTACAGTTAAAAATATAATTTGTTTGCTAAATTCAAAAGTAAATTGACAGACGCGGAAAAGAAATGTTTATAAGAACATCCACACTATTTTTCCCATATAAAAATGGCAAATGTGCTGTGAATCCTTGAAAATTACATAGCAACAGCATAATTGTTGTCGATATTAATCATTTGTTACATTCAAAGCTTTCATAATCATTTGATAGACTTCCAAAAAGAGATTAGAAGAATGTCAGTGCTGTTCTTTGTCATATATCTAAGTTGTAAGTAACAAAGTACACTCAAAAAAATGATATGTTGGCGTTAATTAACTTTTTTTTGTCCACTGGTTCCACGTAACAGAGTTAAGTTACCTTTAAGAAAGAATATTAATTTTAGTGAACTTAAGTTAGTTACATAAAGGTAATGTAATGTTGTTTAGTTCAATCAACATAACATTTATAATTTAGCTTTAATCAATGTAGTTATTTAAGTTCAATTATTCTAAAATTGATATTGTTATGTTTAACCAAATAAAAAAACAGTTTCCGTTTCATTGAGTTTATTCAATAGCATTTTTACAGTTTTACACATTTTCCAGCAATAAAATGATTATCAAAATCCAAATACTGTCTTTATCTGTATCTTCACTTATTACAATACGTTAAAATATTAATACTATTAAAATAATAGTAATACAATTATGAAATAAATTGAAAACAATAAATTATTTTAAAAATATGCTTACAAAAACATCATAAAATACACTTTTCAAAATAATACTTTTCATATATTACAAAAACATTCAAAAATAATATTCTGCCTTCAAATGATTTATCAAAAATATACTTAGAAAAATTAAGTCTTCTTTGTAAACTATACTGTACCTTCTTTACACTGAAAAAGCAGATAACACTTCATGTTGTTCAAAGAAAGATTAACATTTTAAAGCAAAGTAACATGATCAGCACTACACCATAAATTAGACCAACCATCACAGAACATGCAATAGCTACACACATTCATCTCTCTGACACTTGCACCATTTATGTACATTTGCACCAGACACTTTCTTACAACCAGTCCCTATATCTAAAAAACAAAAAACAAAACATTGTGCATGAAGTCTGCTTCACACAGGTGTGTGGGCTTGACAAACCACATGTAGAAGCATTCTTAATTCTTACAATTTTTTGTGTAATTAGCACATCTTTGGTGTATTGCCTCTTCTTGTTGATTTGCTGAATGTGTCCTCAATTGTAAGTCACTTTAGACAAAAGAGTCCGCTAAATGTTAATGTAACTACTGTAGATTCATAAGGTGGTGTTGCACATCAAGGTTTGCGCTTCATCATGCCCAGCATCCTAAAAAAGTCAGGTAAGAGAATAAAACATTTACCAAAAGATCAAAGGTGAAAGGAGGAATTGGTTTAAGAGGAAAATACAAAATGTTTAAAAAAATAAAATAAAATAGCTTACCATGTACTCCCTCACTTAGGGGCTTTGAGGATGCATTCACACCTTTTTTTTCCACTGGTGATGTTCTAAATGACATGAAATGAAAATTGATTATTTACTAAATAATTTGTAGTTAAAATTACTAGTAATGTTTACTGTACATCATTTTAATGTGTGTATAGGCATCTAAAGGCATACTGTAGTAACTGTATGATCCACAGTCTCCTCTGCCAGATATGGGACTTTAGAGGTTGAGCTGTAAACCTGTGAGGGAGAAAATAGATGTGAGTGAGAAAAGATTTAAAATAATAAAATATAATTATATAAATAGCAAACTACTAAACTTAAAAACTTTAAATGTGTTAGATGACCAAACAAATAAGCTTACATAAATATGTTATCATGCTAGATGTCATCCTATTTAAGTGTCACATATGCTTTTTTGCTGATTTTTTTTTTTTTAAGTTAACAGGCTTGAATAATACAATTAGATAATAAATAACAATGTGCCAACACCACATTTTAATTGTTATTATGTAAGTTATCAAAACTGGCATTCAAACTCGACAAACTGCTTGACACTCATTTAAAATAAAGACTATCAAATCAAATAAAAAATCAAATCACTTTTATTGTCACATTATCAGCAGCACGTGTGCTATGATGAGTGAAAAGCTTAGACTATTCTAACATGACTATTCCTTACTACCAACGTTTGCAACTTTATTTTGGGGGAGTTAATATATACCAAGTATAAAATTTCACAGGAATGCAAAACAAACTATACATTTATCTGTCTATAATGTGGAAAAGACACAGGGAACATGGCAATTTCATAGCAATACTATACACAAACACAACATAGTATTACAAGAGAGTACATTTATGATTCAAACGTTGTCACAGCCTCAGTATAAATACTTAAAAAGTAAAAAAAAAATCTCACCTGTGTGTCCACATTGGGGAAAGCTTTGTGCACGTTCTCAATTTGTACTGTAATCTTCATCTTTTGATTCCCATAATATGGCGCCGAGCTGAGAGTGATCGTTGTGGTTTGAATCTTTTTACTTCCTGTGTTGTTTTGAAACTGCGCATGTGCAGATATTACTCCACCTATTGACCAAAATGCAGTACTGCAGAAGCAACACAACTCCCTTTCATTCATGTTAATTAAGCGAGCTGTTTAAATGTGAAAACTTACTTTCTCTAATTTTTTCCAACACAACACTTTTATTTTTAATACACAAACATAAGCAAATTGTTTAATTTTAACTTAGTTACATTTTTTGGTCCAACTAAAGCCACAATTCATTTTTTTGAGTGTATACTAAAAGTAGTCTAAAAGTAACTTGTTTACTGTAATTACAGATTCTGAGATCATTTTATATAATAAACAGTGAGAAATTGTATTTATTTTTAATGCTCATTAGAACCAACAATTACAGTACATATTAAAAACTTTAAATAAATGCACAGTTTCTTAAAAATAACCAGATAAACCCATGCAAATTAAGCAAATTTGTGTAGTTTTATTCATTTATTTATTTAAATCGACTTAAATATTGATCTTTTCCTTACATAAAAGCTATTGTGTGTCTTAAGAAGAATTAGAATATAGAAGATTGGTGTTGCAAAGCTTTCAATGGTGTTTTAAATCATTTTCAGCTTAATAGCCTCTGGTCACTATTGACTTTTATTGTATGGGAAAGATTGTTAAAAAATCTCCTTCTGTGCTTCATGAAAGAAAGCAAGTCAGGTTCATGAGTGAATATGACATTTGGAGGGTATCTATTAACATAACTTGAGTACATTTCTTCAGCCACTCTCATAACTACTAGTCTATAGTAAAATGTATATAATTTTACACACAACAGCACAGTAGCTTCTCTAGCACGAAGGGATGCATGGAATCATTACGGCCTCAGGTTGCTGGTATATTGTGAGAGAAGTCATACATCTTTGATTATTCCAAGGGCATCAGTTCATGACGAGGTTCATGCGGGAGCGTCTCTGTGTGTTAAAGGCTTAGTCTGTGTGTAGTGTGATAACATCAGCTGTGGAAGAAAAGGGAATCTTTATGGTCTTATCCATGATTCTCTGTCCTATCACTCATGCCTCTCCCCGTTGACCTTCAGCTACTGGAAATGACCCTCACCCATTTATAACACACTCGCAGAGGAGATGCAGTACACTGACAGCCATGTTTACTCATTTGATTTGTTTTATGGCTTTTTGGGTCTTCAGTGCTTTCTTGAGAAAAAACAGACAGGTATGTTTGATTAGTGGTCTTATTGGCAGATCAAGGTAGAAAAAAAGTATTTATATATAAATATGTTTATAAAAATAGTATTATTTAAATAACATTTGACCAATATGTAACCAAATATATATCTGGTTGATTACCAACGAAACACTTATATTAAAAGATAAATAAATCTATTTAATTTACAAATTAAGTTATGTGTAATAAAATGAAATTACACAGGAGGTAAATTTTTTCATTAAGAACACAGATACTTTTTTCTAATTTGGAGTAAATGAATTGAGTATATTTCACCAATACGCCCAGATTTTTCTCGAATTGTAACATTTTAATGTAATATTATGTGTTTATATATATATATATATATATATATATATATATATATATATATATATATATATATATATATATATATATATATATATATATATATATATATATATATATATATATTCTTCTTTAAAGGAAATCTTCTAAAGGATATGTAGCCCATGATTTACTGTTTATAGTTGTTGTTGTTAAAGGGAAGAAAATACAAGGCATATGCAAGATCTGTAGGTCTCTTTCTGTATAAGAGATTATGCAAGTTATATACATATTTTCTATTAGAAACTCAAAATAAAAATAAAAAAGAAATTACACAGGAAAAAAGTATTGAACACATGAAGAAAGGGAGGTGTCGAAAGGCAGTGAAAGACCAGACAGTAGCTAAAATCTCTCAGAAGTTAAGCAACTTCCTATTAAGAGCTTCCTTGGGTGTGTTTTGGATCATTGTCTTGCTGAAATGTCCACTGTGGTTTTATCTTTATCATCCTGGTAATGTAAATGCTGGACTGAAGTATTTCATACTCTCTTTCATACAGACGGTTGCTCAATTACCACAGATTATATATATTATATATATATATATATATATATATATATATATATATATATATATATATATATATATTACAAATGGATTTTCAGGGAACACAATATTATGACTATAAGGATAAATTACATATTTGAATATGATTTAAATAAATACATATTTAATATATAAGTAATTTTGTATCTAATGCATGTAGATATAATAAGTCTGTCAAGGCTGGTGACAAATTACAAACTGATTAAAATTATAAATATGCCAGGTGAAAACAAAAACAAATATACAACCAAACAAACTAATATTAAAAAAGCTAAAGCTTTAAAGCTTTAAGCTAAAGCTAATATTGAAATAGTTTGCGTAGTCATAAGATACTTAATATCCGACAAGTTCATTTCCCATAAATCAATCATTTTTAATATAGCTTTATTTTGTATTTATACATATTCTATTTTTTACTATAGTTATTTTGTTTTAGTTGACTGTCATAACTATAACAAAAGGACATTTTATGTTATGTTGTGCTGGTAGTTGCAGATGTAACAAAACATCCATGCAGAAGCTCTGATTGTTATAGATTCAGCAATTTCCATTCAGCCATGATTAATTTATTTTGCGAGGAAAAAAGCATCCCATTGCATGTTTAAATTGTGTAGCAGAGTATTAAAACAGCAATGAAGAATTATTTCTAAGCTGGTGTACAAAGAACGCCAAAGAAAAGATGGCATCAATGAAAAAAAAATTACGAGAAAAAAAAAAAACTCTGCAGTAAATCACACAGAGAGAGAAAGAGAGAGAGAGAGAGAGAGTACAGTGTATTTAGGCATGCAGTACTGCAGCAGGAAGCAGGTTGAGGCAGATATGGGACTTATAAATCAAATCTCTCTTGTGCCTTACCTTTCTCTCCATCTGCTGGAGTGAGGAAGCAGAAAGAAAGGGAGAGAGAAAGAGAGAGAACAGCTATTTAACGATGAAGTTCCTATAATTACATTCAGTATTCAAAAGCTGGAACACACACGCACACACACAGACTGCAGTGTTGGTGTACTGCATGAACACAGTAGCAGCACAGTTATCAAACACTGTCACAAGGTGAGAAAGAGATCTTCACAATAAACTGAAAATCTGATCTAATCTAAATCTAATCAGAGCAGAGCGATCTCCATCAGAGCTGAACTCAAGCACTCATGAAGGCCACGCTGCTGAAGAACTTCTCTGGAACACACACACACACACACACACACACACACACACACACACACACACACACACACACACACACACACACACACACACACACACATTATATATATACCCACAGGTAAGTCTGCTTTGATTTCTAGGTCACTAAGAAGTGTTAATAATCCCAGAGAAAATGTAACTTTTTCATTTTCCCCACATGAATTTATGCTAATTCTTATTCGTCTTCTAATGGGAAAAATAACATCACCGCATGATACATATTGAAGCGAGATTTTTTTTCTGCAGGCAATAGATGCTTGCTCTAACAATTTAGATTTCAGGGCACTGTTAAGAGGTTTCAGAGGTATTAGAAGGTTTGTATTTTATTTATTTATTTATTTTTTGCATTTTCTCAATTGTCAAATGACAATGAGTTTGTTCTAAAGGATTTTACATAATTTATAGATTTATGATCAAGTCTAATAGTTTGTAAAAAGGTAAACTACAATATTTTTGAATGATACCATACAGTACATACCTGCCAACACTCCAATTTTTCCCTGGAGTCTCCTGTATTTCAGACCCATTTCCCATATTGTTCTGTCTCACGGAAAACTCCCAGAATTCCACCACCCCCTCCCCCCAGCTTTTTGGTACAGTCCAGCCTGAAACCTGGTGCATGTTCGCGCACCAAACCCAACGCGCAACCATACCCATGCGCAGTTGAGCACCAAACCCAAAGCTCTTTACTTCGCTCGCACCCCCCTACCAAAACATTGACAAAGTCTCTGAGACGTTTTACAGGATTTTGCATGATTTATAGATCTATAATCAAGTCTAATAACTTAAAAAAAAGGTAAATTACTTTTATTTGGAATGATACCACATGTGAAACAACTGTTGAGATTTTGTGTTTAAGTCAAAAATCATAAATATGAGGAATAGAGATGCTTCTGTTAGCAAACACTACTGAAAATATGAATAAATTTATATTGTTAAGAGGTTGCAGAGGTATTAGAATGTTGTTGTTGTTGTTGTTGTTTTGCATTTGGTTTTTTTTTGTAATTGCATGCTAACCCAAATGAAATCCATTGACAAAGTCTCTGAGAGTTTGCTATACATCATTTTACATGATTTAAAGATATATGATCAAGTCAAAATAGCTTTTAAAAAAAGTTCCAGTACACTTTTTTGATTGACAACGTATGTGAAACATCTGTTGAGGTTTTAAGTTTAAGTCAAAAACCATAAATATGAGGGATTTTGTTAGCAAACGCTGCTTATTTAACATTTGTATTGACCAGGGATGGAATGATTACATCAAAACTATGAAAAACAAAATGAAATAAATTAAAACTTCGCTGAGCTTATTAAACTGAAATAATCAGCTAGTTGCCAGGGAAACCTTTCCAATTCTTATTAAAATACAACTAAAAATAATGCACAAATAATCTACAGAAAGGTCTCTTGTTAACAAGCACTAATAATGAGAACTATATTTGTGTAGCATTGAATAACTCATGTTTTAATTTAATTAATACTTTTTTTATTAATTTAATTTTAATTTTGAATATAATACAAATATTCTGGAAGGATGCATCCGCCGATCTGCATTACAAAGAATATGCTTTAAACAATTAGAAAACGAGTTCTGTAATTAAAAAGACAGTCAATTAAATGCTGATAGACTGAGAGATGCTTCTTTTATGAGGCCTGAAGGATGTCATTGGTCACCATAAGCCCAACAACCGAAAATACAGTCAATCTTTCGGCTTATGGCAGTATGGCAGTGTATAATTGACAATATTTTTCTGCTGCTTGGTTAAACTACTTATTTAAAATGAGCTGAATTAATACAATTCTTAATTTGAGCTGGGACAACAAGGAGGAATTGCGACCCACCAATACCGATATTTTAAAATTCCGATTTCAGTTTTTTGGTTAAGTTTGACCTGCCATTACTGATATTTAGTAATTCCAATTTACATTTTTTGCGTGACCTGCCGATAACAATATTTGGAAATTCTGATTTCTTTTTTTGGTAAGTGTGACCTGCCAATATCAATATTTACTGATTCCGTATTCCCTTAAGTGTGACCTGCCGATACCAATATTTTAAAATCCTGATTTCATTTTTTTGTTAAGCTTGACCTGCAAATACCGATATTTACTAATACTGATTACTCTTTTTTTTTTTTTTTTTTTTTTTTTGGTGTGACCTGCCTATACTAATATTTACTGATTACAATTTCAGTGTTTTTTGGTAAGTTTGACCTGCAAATAGTGATATTTACTGATTCTAATTTCTTTTTTTTTTTTTTTGGTGTGACTTGCCGATACCAATATTTACTGATTGCGCTTTTCGTTTTTTTGGTAAGTGTGACCTTCCAATACCGATATTTGATGATTCCAATTTTATTTTTGGGGGATTAAGCGTGATTTATAGATAACAGCATTTGCCAATTTCGATTTCCAATTTTTTGGTAAGTGTGACCAAGTCATGAGATGATAACCGTTTATACCACGTGGTTTATACCGTGGTTTGGAAAAGTCAAGGTTTTAAAACTGTCAGAATTTTCTGCTATACCATCCCTAATGTATGTGAACAACCTTTTATTTACGTTTTTTTTGTTGTTGTTGTTGTTGTTGTTTTAGGACATCAGTGTCTCCAGCAGAAAAGATATCCAAAGATGCCATTTTAAATTATAAAAAAGTCAATGTTTTTGAAACAAATGAAGACAGCAGAATTCAATTATTCTTTTGAGTTATTTAACCTGGCATGTTTACTATTCCAAAATATTTAAAAGTTTCTCAAAATAAAATATGTTGTGTTCAAAATGGAAAAAAAAAGTTTTTGTTTTTTACCTGGACAATTAAAAAGAATATATTTTAGAACGATATTCACAAAACTGTGAAACAGTGATATTCTTATCCAAGGTTATCATACCGTCAGATACCATCTTATACCGGCCCATGCCTAGTGTGGAACCCTTTATTTCTTACACTGTACAGTGTGAGGCAACTTAACAAATTTAAGAGGATTGAACATAAAACAATTATGTTTTCACAAAAAATCTTAAGAATTGTGTCGTTTAAGCTTATTTTTACTTAAGGAGTTTAAACTTGCATCAACATTTTTTTGGAGTGTACACTGTACTGTATGCCAGTGTATGGCAGCATATAACACACTTTAATAGCACCACAATCACAGTTTAAATAGCGTCCAACACCTGCAGCAGAGAAGACTGAACTGCTCTCCAAAAACACCCACCGCCCTTGATAGAAGCGGAGCAACCCTCCAGCAGAATAAACCTGACCTCTGCACAGTTCCTCTCCAGCGCTCACGCAGTCCACACAACCACATTCAAGACTGCAAGCCAATCTGGGCCCTTGCGTGGGCGAGAAGCATTGTGGGTAATCAGTCAAGGAGACATTAGGGCTCCAAATTTTTCTATGGAAAGAAATGCAGCTTCCACTATTGACCTTCAGCCACACACACACAAACAGAACGGAGCAGCTGCATTCACAGGCCAGTAGGTAAACACAGTGAAAGCGTATCCAATGAGCAATTAAAGAACAGGGAGACGCCGCTACTGATGTGCGCGCAGGGATTTCCCCTCTCACAGGGCATATGGCAGCCCTCCGTCACTCGGTCACACAGGCTGTCAGGATTATTTCCATCACATCACACTCATTCAGTCTCCTGCAGGTCATATAATCACATTACGCTGCTAACAAAAGGTCCTGAGTCACGTGACCGATCGTCTGCTATTATTCCGCTAATGAAGAACAGGGAGTGGGATGGGAAGACGGGAAATGAAAGTGAAACTACAAACATTGAGAACAAGAGGAGGGGAGGGGGGGGCAATGAGAGTGATTTATTATAAAATAAGTCACACCTCTCGTGTTGGGATGACAGAAAGAGACTCACAGGAAACTACAATGTTCTACAAAGATGTTTTATTTGAAGAAATTGTGAAACCACATTGGAACAGTATTGAGCTGAAATAGAAATGATCATTGTTTTGTTCTCCTTCTGATTGATATACTGCAAAAATAAGCTCCTTAAAGTCGCCGCTTTTGCAAATACAGCATCCAATACAGCAGTAGTTTACAGCGGTGGGGTTCGCGGGACAATTGGGTGGTTATGAGGTTTTGCTTGGTGATTTCTAAAAATCTAATTCAATTCATTAAACTACAATTACCATATTTTATCTGTAACCTACAGAAGAAAAATAGTAGTTAATAGTTAATAGTAATAGTACAGTAATAGCAGTTAATGGTAAAAGCCAATAGTAGTTAGTAGTTAATAGTAATAGTATAGTAATAGTAGCTAATAGTAATAGTTAATAGTAGTTAATAGTAATAGTATAATAATAGTAGTTAATATAGCAATAAAAAAGCCATCAGCCATTCGATTTTTTTTTTTTTTTTTTTTGCGACCTCTGTGGTAATTACGTTATATTAAAAAGATCAGACTGATTTTATGGCACCATGTTAAATGTTCTGACACCTTTACGGTATTTATGTACATAAAAAGTAAATACAGGCCACAACTGAAGATGAGGGATGGTCTCTGAGTGGCGTTCTTCAATATTAAATGATGAATAAACTTGGGTCTGTTGGTATGTGTGTACCGTTGTGTACAAAGCAGGGATGTCCCTATCACGTTTTTTTGCCCTGGACTCTTTTCATTTTGATTATCTACCGAAACCGAAACCTGATCTAAT